GCTACGCCGGAAGAATAAGGTAATCAAGTCGATCTCTGCGAAGCTCATGAGCGATTATCAGAGACACGAACGATGGAATGATTATTCTTGGTACAAAGTATCGAAAACAACTGTATTGTCACACCGCACTCGGTTCAACGAATCGATTGATCCGACTACCTATGTTTAATATTGCCTAAAAATGACGCAGCCCAATATCGATCTCAGCAATACTCAGACGTATTGCCTTGAAGAACATATAGAATGGACCAGGAAAACTAGACCAATCTTCAAACTAGGATAACGTCAGGAGGGTACCAGTCATTTCAGAAAACCTCGGAACAAGCAAACTACGTTTCCATTTCGTAAAAATCAAGTTCATTGGACTTGCTAGAAAGCCAATAGAGTTGACTGAGATTCAAAGAAAATAAAAAATCCAATAATTTTAAAACTCCACAGAAAATATGCAACTTTTTCCTAAGCATATTTTTATTTCTTCCAACAGCCTAGGCAATAGTGTATGGTCTTCCCATTTGATTAAAACATTAAATCACCCCGAAGATTTTTTCAAGAGCTTTAATTGAACTACTTCATGATGATTGATCTAACGAGTTAGGATATATCATTGGTAGGAGTCGGCGGAATTTTCCTGCACATCCAGCTCGGTTCCGGCGGAGAAAAATATTCCTTGGGTCTTCGGGTTCAATGATCAACACAAGCAAGGTTTTTCATAGTAAGAATATTTACGTAACCATCTTTCGGCCTCCATTCGAGTGTCGAAGCGCACGAACCCGATACCAGTCGGCAAGCCTGAAGGTGTAAGAAATGCGCTTGCGGGAATTAGCCACTGCAGAGGCCTCTCATGAACGAGAAGCGCAAAATGCGGGATGGTCCTTCCTTTCAAAGTTGCCCCATTTATGCGTCGCAACCCAACAAAAAAAAAAGCTTCCGTGTCGGAAAACGGAGCCTACGCCAGCAATTTGCTGATAACAACGGGTTTTCAGTGATCAGGTTTCCAATCAAAACATTCGAGCATAGCACCGCATGGTGAGTAGTTGGGCTTACGTTCAAAATCATACGAAAAAAACCCGGCCACAAAAATTACATCCCGGAGACCCCCCTCCCGGCGATTTCCAGGGATTCGTTAAGATATTCAATCTTCGTGTCATATAATTATCTACACCCTTATTCAATTAAAATTACTGCTTAATGAGGGATACGGATAGCCAAATTTCCTCGACAAGAGATCAAAGCTGTGTTGACAAATTATTCCCTCAAATGGGTGAAAAATACTGAATCAGGGTGCTATTGCTAAGATTGCTTCTGTAAGACATTGTAAAGCTTGCAGATCTCATTTTACAGCTCGATTCATGTTTAGTTATTCTCGGTTGTGAATCACGGAGTGCATACCAGACGTCCAGAGAAACCTCAATATTTCGCACGGTTTACTCACCGCTTAGCCTGTCGAGAATGATTCGCGTTGTGACAATGTTTCCAAAAGGAGAGAATATCTGCTCCAACTGCTGCGAAGTAATCGTGCGCGGGAGATTCTTGACATAGAGGTTCGCGTTTTTTATCACGTCCGAACTCGGACGTGCAAATGACACCTAAGCGGCAATAAGCAACATATCGGAAAATGAATTTGAGCGGCTGAGATAACATTCAAAATCAAGATGTTCGCAGAATACCTCGCAATAACGAAACTTTAAATTTGGAACCGTACATTCGTGGCTATAAAATCAGTCATAAATATATGTGTTACGTCAAGCTTTGCTGTACATGTACAGTATTGTATTTGCATAAGCGGAGGAACTGAAAAAATTATGAACACAGTACAGTCTTGAAATCTCTTGTCATACTGTAATTTGATCTACGCTGCCCATTAAGAACACTTTGAGTAAAAATAACACTTGCTGTAAATAGCTGCATATAATTCAGATATTTTTTTGCTTTGACAGATGCTGATCCCACTTTCAAATTAATCTCCATACTCGACCCAAGTCAAACAAAGAAAACGAACAAAGAAAGAAGGGAGTAGGACTCAGATTTTTAAAACCAATGACTGGGTTCATTAACCAGGAGCATCAAAAATCACGGATACTGAAATTGAATGCTAGCGAAGATTCTTCAAGTTTTTCAAAAAATTGAAACTAACCTGAAATATTGCAATGGACATTTACACAGATTTTGAAGAGCATTCACTCGGATAATAAATTATTCAATTAGAGCAACATTTGAATCAAATAGAATTTGAGGTCTGCGATATTGTCTATTATTCTATCAAATTTTCGTCGTCGAGTATAGTAATTCGGAAAATGTAATTGATGTTACAATATTCTGCATCTATACGGTAATTCAGACCCACACATTATCCGCATTTTCGAAAAGACAAACTTCGTATATGTGATAGTTGTCCTGAAGAAAGCATCTGACTAGTAACTCGTTCGTTTTACTGCACGGTTTATGATAGACGAACCTTGAGGGTTTTTCCCAGGAGCTTCGTGCCATTCAACACCAACACGGCCCTCTGCGCATCAGATGAAAACGCGAAGTTGACAAAGCCATAGCCCAGGCTTCCTCCTGCATCATGAAACAAACTATTACGCACAGATGATGGGAGGGCTCATCGTTTCCGATGACGTCACTGCATCCAGCTCGGATACCATAGCAACAAATCATTTTTAGTGAAAGGGAAAAGCTCAGCGCAGATTAACGGTCAGGTCGTTCGCGCCGGAACGTAAGCCGAAGAATAACTAGCGTTTAGATTGTGACGTCATAAGCTGTACTTACCAAGAACTCTTCGGTCGCCGTCCCATCCGCAATGTTCGCGGATTATGCGGCAACTGACGATAGCACCAAATGGCGAGAACATTCTACGAAGTCCCTCTTGGGACAATTCGAGTGGTAAATAATTGACTATTAAATTAGTCCTTCCCTTGTATTCTGGTTCATTTCCAATGCAGCCGTCGTTCGTGGCTTCACACGTTGAAACATTGATTGGATATTCCGGCATGGAAAAATCGGTGCCCATCAGTTTGAAAACGTTCTGCAGCACGTCGGACGCCACCACCGGCTGTCCGTTGTAGACTTGAATTGAACAACAATCATTACAACACAAGCCCGATACGCAAATGTGAAGTTGAGCTTCGCATTTCGTAAAATCTACGAGAAAACCGACTGCTGAGTCAGAAAAATTTTACACACACCATATCAACGAGGAGGGAAGTCCAACAGACTGCATCTACCTGACTACATCCAACTGTTCTACTGGATAAATCCGTCTTCTCTGGAACTTCTCTTTCGTTCTCACAACAGCAAACATTGAGAAATGTTATGAAAACTCCACCATAAGATGAAATTCCACTTGGAAAACAAACTCCTTACATATGAACATCATGGATCTAGGTACCGTGTGATCACGTCCTTATCAAATTGGCATTCTTTAACTTGCGATAAAATAAAATCAATTGAAATACAAGCATTCCAGATTTTTAAAATGTCGCATCGTGTAACTGGGCGTCAACGAAGAATCGACGCTTTAGAAAACATAAGTTCCGAACGGGACACGATTTGGACCAGTACTTGCTGATTGTGTTTGACTTTATTTCAGGCGCATTTTTGTTTCTGATTGATTATGATCCCATAAGATAAAATACTCACGAGCTCCAGGAATCGGGTACGGGGCAAACGAAATCATTGCCGCGTTGTTGTTCTGGTTTTGCATGGTCAGCAGATTCGGATAGCAGTACTGCTGCGGGAAGCTGCGAATAGATACATTCCTCGATTTAAATCTCCATATAAACTAGACTTAAAATTGTACAGTGTTTCTACTTCAGACAGTCGGGTGCCGGCGAACGCTCGATATATTGCACAGTATTCCAAGAAAATCGCTGATTTATTCTACATCAAATCGAATATGGCGGACGAGCTAGCAGAACTTACGAGGTAGTATCAGGGAACTGCATGATGGCGAAAAATTAATCTTCCTCTTCCCGAAACAAACTTATTTTGCGACAGCAACGTAATCACAGACAAAACACAAAGTTCACAAGCAACTCTGTTCTCCACGGTAATTCCTGACCAACTACGACGCTGCGCGCGGGAGTGCATCGCCAAAGCGCGGGAAGCAGTTGGTTAGATGTCTCCGCGCGAAAGTGTACAGAGCGATTCCTCTTGTCCAATACTACAACTTATTCGTGGGATGGATCCATGGCATCGAAAATTTATCTCTTCGACCCAGACAAATATTAACTTATGTCGCACGATCCTTTGCTTCGAAAATTAGACGAGAAAAATCAAGTGTAGCTGAACCTACACGTAACGAAATCATGCATATTAAAATATTTCAATTAAATATTTTCCTTATGTTCGTTGTTTAAAACTGACGGAACGAGTCTAAAACAAAGACTTGTAAGGATGCGTCATTTTTGCGTACGTGCTACATGCAACAAAGGCGATGTTAACAATATATCTTAGCGCTTGCGAACAATACAAAATGGAAAAAATTTAGCGTTGCGACCGAATACAGCATAAAACACGTTATCCAAGCGCGTGAAAAATTTTCAATTCATTCAAAATTGTTTCTGTTTTATTAAAAACACCACAGTTTCGAGGAATATGAGATCGACTTTCCTTCCGAAAAGGTTTATGCCAGTAACGACATAAGAGAAGGTCGTACGGGCTTCCCTGTCCGACAGGGATGGTTTCAAATCCTGTACAGTGCATCACGATCTGGCAGCGCGCCTGCTCAAGGACATTCGCAGGATTGCACCTGCGACATCGTATACGATGGCTCCTGCGAGAAATCCAAGAGAGGAGATGTTGTGGTTCTTGGGCGCCACGCTACGGACGGGGTTGAGTCTGGTATTTTTCGTAGTAGAGACAATTTTCCCCGCGTGTCTGAACAGCGACTTCCGGCAACGACAAATTCTCAGAAATCATGGAGAAGGGCCATGATGAGAAATGCAACGACGAATTCTTTTCGTCTGACTTTTACGGGGTGGTAATCATGAGATGTTACGTCTGACAATACGAGTACATAATCTCGAATGGTCTTGTTTCCCGTGTCCATGGTTTAAAGAAAGAAGTTTCAAAAGGAGTGATTGATTTATATACACTACGGATCCCGTCTGGTATTTCCGCCCGAAGGTTCTTGTATTTCCGCCCGAAAATGGATCTCAGACTATTAGAGTTCAAACCGACAGGTAGATTTCTCCGCAGGTTTCTCACGCTTACTTCAACAAACCGTTTAATCGTTTTATCAACACATAGCAGCTCAGGCATGAGTGCCAACTGCACAGTTCCCCACGAACAGATTATGATTCCAATTTCTGGAGTCGCTGATACGAGGGAACTGGTATAAAAGCTTTTAAAAGGTCCGATTCTCATGATTCATAGTTACGATAACCCAAGCGGAAGTTTAATTCGCAATTATTACTTACCTAAGAACGAATTCAAATGAAACGTTTTCATGCTAAATTGATGCAGCAGGGAAAATCGCCCCTACGAGTGGAGCTATGGAAAAAATACCCATTTACACTCATTTCAAGTCAAATTTTGTCTCCAAAAGAAATTTCATAAGCTAGTGCAGTGCAGAATAAATAGGTCACCGGTTTCTTCTCTCCTTGCTCTTCCTTCCCAGTGCGTTTCTCGGCACAGTGCGAGTGTCTAACACACATGATGGTACAGTACAGTATTTGAACCCTCTTAAATTTTTCTGAAAAAAGGTGAAAAATAAAAAGCGGACATAATGCGCGAAAATAAGTTTGAATTATCTCACTATTAATTATGCTAATTATCTTACTGCATAGCCACAAAAAAAGAAGAAAAGGAGGGCATACTACATACGAAACGAAGGGCGCTCCGTAACTTCGCATATTTTTCAATGACGTATCGCATATTTTCCGTTACTAGTCGCATATTTTTCAATAACCAGGATCCTTTTCTAAAAATTTTAGGTACCAAAGCAAGCAAATGCTTCGAAGCGGCTTGCTTTTCGCCTTCTTCGGCCTGGTGGCCGGACAGGCGAAATACTGTGAACCGGTTGCCCCCGGATCTGTACACGATTTCAGCGCCACGCTTCTTGACGGTAGTGACACCGTGAACTTTGCTGACTACGCCGGCAAAGTGAGTGTGCGACGCGACTGGGGTCGTAGAAACAAAGAAAGCATCAGTGAACGAGTTTATTTATTTTTTGCACCGTAGAATCGAAAACGTGCCTCCTTCGACGTCGGATTGACTGCGCGCTAGATTTATATCCGCCGTTCCCCCTTACCCCTGAGAAAAACTCCTCGTTTCTCCAGTAGATTTCCTTATATTTACTACACTCGTTTCTACAGCAGCTGTCGGTATATTAATTGCGCTGTCGAACTCATTGCCCTGGCTCCACCTCTGAAACTTAATACCTCGCCCAACAATAGTGCTGGTTTGGCTCGTATTGTTGGTGTAACGACAAACTTGCAGCCTTCGCCATCTCCCTTGATCTATTGCCTTAGTTATTCCTGGAAAGCCTCCGAAAATGAATTTAATTTCCGAAGGAACAGTGCAAAAACTGCGTGAACTAATTCAAGGCGCATTCTGAAAATTTACCAGGGATTATGAAATCAGAATAAATGTAATTGATGATTTTCGAACAGTATCCCAATCATCAGATGCCTGTTTTGTAAACTTACAGCACTCATGTTGGCTAATATTCCTGCACTGTATTTCTTCAAGCATTTTCGAAAACCGCCAGCAGTTTTCATTTGATTCTCACTCAAATTACTCAAATTCGTTTTTTAAACGTCAGAGAAACTACCTACTCGAGGGGTTTTCTATTTTTTCTTTATATTATTCTGCAATAAAAAATAATAATCCCGATAATTTAGGTGATTCTGTATATCTTCACACTTCTTGCTATTCTCTTCATTCCCCGCGGAGATTTTTAGGAATCTTCCTGTTTCTATTCATTAGTTCAATGGAAATGTAACGTCTGTGAGAACAGTGTCGGAAAATTCTCAATCGAACATTGGACGCACCGGAGAAATTCGTCGAGATTAATCTAATGATTTCCTTTGATTAAAGATACGTGGGCATTCCCGAAAATATTCACAAGTCGAAGTTTGAATTTTTGCCCCTTCGCAAATTGTACTTACCTTCATTTTTAACACGTTTTTATTAAATTGCTTTCTTGTCCGTTTGTTTGTCCGGATCAAATTTTGCAACTCAAGTTTTGCTCACTTCCCAACTAGCTAGCAAGCTGAAACTTTCAGGATAGCTTAGAAACTGATGACAATGCAATCTTTTGTGATAAGAAAAATTATAAGAATATTTTTTAAAAAGAATAAAATAATTATTATACGTTTCATCGCAACACAGTGACTTTGTTCCACAGAAGCTCCTCAAAATTTTCGAACGATCAATCGAAGCAAATGAAAAATTTAATGCACTTTGAGTAACTTTTACTCAATAAAAGCATCAATAATCATTCAATTTGATCACTTTCCGGCAGCTTATCCTGATGGTGAATGTCGCCTCTTTCTGAGGCTTGACTCCNTTTGGAATTCCAATCTAGATAGCATTACGTATAAACAAACATCAGCGGATAGAGGACTTGAACGTGGAAGAAACATCATAATTGCATGGCTAAAAGTTGTAATAGAATAAATATTGTTTTCGCATAACACGACATAACTTCGTGATAGCTGGAATTCCCAGGAACAGTTATTAATCCCATGGTGATTATATATGTGACAATGGGCATGAAAGCTCATTAAGAGGGAAACGTGTCCAGATACATGCATCAGCATGTAAAAAATTACGGTAAACTTGATGCGAAGTAAAATTCATGACATCGTCATTAAGTTGCACTTTTTTAAAAATCTATCACGCCAGTTGGAAAGATATAACTAATTTCGGACCCATGCAACCCAGTCAACAAAGAAGAACACAACAAAAGGGGAAGAGCCAATATTTGTATTCGGAAGAATAAGGGTCATTGGGTGTTTTTCTCCTGAAAACAGCATCCAAATAACACGACACACTTGAGTAAGGCATTTGGGTGTCCTTCAGGAAATAACCCTCACAACTCCCCCTAAAAAACCGTGTTTTCGGTTTCAAGGTTAACGAGATCCATTCCGGAGGAAAAGCCATTAAGGAATCGAGGGTGGATACCAGGAGCCATTTACCATACTAACGCACGTGGGGGAACTA